TTTCTGACCCACTTCATGCATGCCATTATTGATTTTTCATTTTTGTTCGATGCATTCTATTTGGTCGGTCACCATAACCACGACTCATTCTTAGTCACTGTTCCCTAATGTTCATGAGGGTATGGGCTGGCCAATAATTGTTTCTGTGGCCTGACAAGAGACGTTTGATGATCTCCCTGGTTCTCTCTGTGAGGGTATAACTTCGCAATTTTCCAGGTGCATTTTTTCAATCACATTGTCTATCAATTTATTGACACCGTGGAATCAACATCTACGTTTTGCCGTCCTATTTCTGTTCCTGACCTCCCTCCAGAGTCTATTGCGCAACTCCACTCTGAAAGAGCTTAATTTGGCTGCAAACGATTTGAACGAGAATTCCGCCGGCTACTTTGCTCACGTTCTAGCCCACAACAGAACGCTAACCCACCTTGACTTATCCAACAATCAGCTTGGAGTGGTAAGTTTCTTGAAAAGAGTCATGGTTTGTTGTTGTTGTTGTTGTTGTTGTTGTTGTTGTTTTTGTTGTTATTGCTGCCACTAATGCTGATGTTGAGGCTGCTTTTATTATTGTTCTTGTTGCTGGTGGTTGTTATTGTTTTTGTTGCCACTTCCTCTACNCTCTACTGGCACAGAAAGTGTGCCTCGAGTAGATATTGATTCATCACAGCAGATATGGAACTCTCGAATTGCGCCATGTTATTAATTTGATTTTCCCTCAGGCCGGCAGTCGAAAACTCCAGGAAGGCATGGTTCGAAACGAAACTTTGTTGTACTTTGATTTACGATTCACCGGAGGTAGCCAAGAGGCGGAATATTCTATTTGTCAGCAAGTGGAGAAAAATCAAGATAGCCTAAGACAGACACAACTGGACCTCACACGGGTAAGTATGCTTTGTGGCCTGGTGAGTTCTGTATAATTTCTTAGGCTACTATTTGAAAGAAGAAGTTGGTGGTGCTCGTGGTGGTGGTGGTGGTGATGGTGATGGACATTGTTTTCCTACCTAAAATAACATAGTATAGTAACTGATACAGAGATGTATTTCATCAAGAGTAGCTGGAAAGTGCTCTGGTTGGTTCTTAAGGCTTAGCCTCTGAATGTTGTCAATGATAATTCGGGAATTGAAAACTGGTACTCTCAAGTTTATTTTCACCCCCGTTACTAGTAAAAAAACTAACCAACTTTGAGTAACCAAGAGGCGGGATGGAGGGAAATACGGACCAGTTATTCTGTATGAAACACACAGTCTCGCTGTGACTTGAATTTTTTGGTCTCAAATGAGAGAAACTATTTTTGGATGATTCAATGTGTGAATGTTTCCGAGAGCGTGTTTATTATTTACTCGGAGAAATAAATTTGTAGATGAATACAATGTATAACACTATGTTTCTTTGGTGCTTTTCAGTTTCATTACCATATATATTCAACCGAATCTTTCTATAAATTTCATTGAACAGTGTTAGAAATTACCGTTCAATAAATACACCCCAGTTGCCCGAAATTATTGAACCGATGTTTGAGTCATTGGTCTCTGTGTGCTCCATATTGTCATCTGGTTGGTTGTGATTTTTCATCTTTCACTAATGTGCCCAATGTTTCAATGAGTGTAAACTGTTTTTATTCGGACATTTGAATATTCTTGTGCATATACTCCCAGTGGTAGTCCATTAATACTGATAAAACAACTTGGATGAAACCAACTAAAATGCTTCACAGTCGACTGATAATTTTTATTGTCGTGTTTAGGATTACACTACTATTCGTTTGCTAGTAGCATGAGCTCGAAATCGCATATCACTGTTACGCAACCTCTATTTTCCTCTATCAGTCCTCGACAGATTTCACCGAAGATCAAATAGATCTCTCCAGTTACCCAATGGGTATAACAAGTGTGGCAAACAGATATCCAATGCCGTCCTCGGTATCGTCTGAACAGTTACTGAAACACTCCGGTCCTGGCATCTTCTCCCATTAGGTTTTGTCAACTGGAACCCACGTGCCTAACTGGAATTGCTCCGTGCGAAGGGCCAGCCAGCAAAACTGGGCGCTAGATAGCTGCCCCCGAACCCAGACGAAATATGCCCTATATCTTGTGTTTTTTGACATCCATGGACTGGAGTTGTGCAAACCCTGGAGATTGCTAGTTGATACAATCGCGTATATACCCATATACACACAATGAACAAGAGAAAATATGAAAGCATTACATGAATAGAACCGTGTGTTATTTTTATGATTCCTCTGGTCAAGGGATGGCTAGGTTTTCTGGTTACTGTAATAATAGATGTCTTGCATTTGTACAAGAAGCAGTCATAATAAATTCATTTCATTCTATCACGGTCATGCGAATCTGAAAGAAACACACTATAGAATTGTGGGAAAATCACATAATTCAAAAAAATTCAATTAGGTAAGATGATGCAAATTATGTCTATAGCTACACTCTACCCAATGATAGTACAATATTTTTATATATGCAATGGAGTGTGATGGGAACGATCACTTTGCGATGCACCGTTCGCAGTATCAACAGCAAATACACTGCCCCGATTCCCAACGATCTCACACATTGAATCATGAAAGGGTGAAGAGAAGCTAAAACAATAACAACAACAACAATTTAAATTAATTCCTCTTGAGGATTAAAAAAGGTTCAAGCTAGATTGAAAATATCGCTGTGAAACAATCCGAGAGACAATTCAAGACAAATTATTTTATATTGGTCAGACAGATAATATCAAACTGCCAAGTAATCAATAGGATAAAGGTCAGTAACCAAAAAGCCACTATGCATCACAATATCACACAGCAGTTCAAATTTAAAAAAAATGGAAAATCAACAATCAAACAGAATAACACGGGACTTAGATCACTTGCTACAAATTCCCGAATTGGATGATATTTAAGCTAAAGAACACTGGACGTCGTGCGCAAGATATGCATTGGTCTTTTCAACACAATCGATAATAGAACAAAGAGTAGCGAAAAAACTCATTTTCAGTGATTGACGTCATGGTATGATTTCACAAGCTAAGTTTTTAAATTACAATTATAGTACTCATGAGTAGTTGAAATAATATCTTGACATGTTTGAGGAAACTTGTTAATTTTGGACTTCATAGCGATTTATCAAATTTTTATGATTTTAAAAATGTATAAAGGCAGTAAAATGAAGACAATGGTTCAGTGTGAACGGACGGTGGCGGTCCATTGGTAACGTCACCAAATTATCACCCCGGAGGCGAGTGTTCGAATACCACCACCACCGCCTGAATTTCCCCGTTTGGTGTATGGTGGCCCTTTGATTGATTACTTCCCCCTTCCTGAAAATTGTATTGTATTGTAGTCAAGAGAAGGAAGTCAACATGAAAAAGAAAAAGTAAACGAGTAAATGTCAATATTATCTGCAATCAGTGGAACAATTAAAACGTATAGGTTCGCGTAGTTCGTCAAAATAATCCCGGACCATCATCCGCATTTTCTACGCACATCGCAATTTTTATCTGCTTCCATAAAAGCATAGGACCACCCGTTGGGCTTTCTGTGAAACAGTAATGATGAATGGACGTTCAAATGATGAATGTACTGCCGACTAAAAATATTTATGGTCCAACATGTCAAAAATGGCCTAAAATACAGCATATTATGAAGCGTGTACACCCTAACATGATAGACAGACATATTAATGAGAAAAAAATACAGGAAGTATCAAAATAGTTCTGGGGAGTGGTTCAGGTCACCATAGGTGACCTGAATTCCTCGATCACTTTCCTTGTCATGAAATATATTGTTTCATAACACGCCTTAATTTTTCGATGATACCAAATGTACATTTAGGTGAGGTGTGCAACTGGTATGAGAAGATAAGTTTTGGATATTTTTGTTTTAAACTGCGACCTAGAGAGCACGTCAAATGAATACTAGCCGCAGCTGCGGCTAACTAGTCGCACCGGGCCCGACAATTCAGACAGACCAATGGACAGCCTATAGAAAGAGTATTCACAGGTATGTTTATTATTCAAAAGGTTTTTCACATCTTGTGATCGGTATTCATCGCAGCTCTGTGAAGCTTTCCGGACTAGGTTGAAGAACCAGTGGAAGAACATGCACGGGGCCATAAATTTCATTATCTATGGGTGTAGGAGATTTTCATACACAATTACAGGAGACTCATGGGCAGTTCAGTTTGCACTAGTCACGGGTATTTAATGCGTTTCCGCGAGGCTTTTGCAAGATTCTTTTTTCGAAAACATTGAAAACCTAAGTTGGGGCAAAAGAAGAACAAACTACAGGAAATGCACAAAAGTGAGTGCCCCAGGTGAGACTCGAACTCACGGCCTTCAGATTATGAGACTGACGCGCTAACCGACTGCGCTACTAGGGCACGGAGGGCCCGGTATTCAGTATATATCATGAAAAGACAACTAACGGGTTTATCAAACATTCTGTTGAACTGATAATAGAAGTTTCCCACTTCTTTAACCCCTCTTTCAAATCATTGATCAGTTGAAGTCAAAAGTGTGCAAACTCGTTTTCAGTACAACCAAATGAAAATCAATCGTTACCCCGAAAAGCTGATGACGGTTGTATTATGTGGTCATCTACAGACGGGAGAGAACGAGAGAATCATACGCATCAGTAAGCGTGCAGGAAGGGAAAGTAGACACGCGGTAACCATTCAGGTGGCCTCGGTCGAATAAAACAATAAAGTACCAGGAAGGAACGATACATGAGTAGATTCATTAAACATTTTGGTCCGTCAAGACTTGTCTTGCAAGAATATTGGACTGCTTCGCGGTCTATGCCTACTGCACATTCAGTATATTAGTCTCGTAAGCCACTTACCTGTTCCGAGTCTGCCCCTAAGTTACGACATTTGCTCATCAGGTGATGTTTTTCGTTCCGTCAGTTGGTGAGGAGAGGTTGGAGACTAGCTTGGCAACCCGAGCCCCATCAATAGTCCGTTGTGTGCTATGCCCATCCAGGCCACAGTCAGTATTCGGAAGGGGAACAGCACCGTGAGGTGTACATTTTCCCGACTGACTGCAATTGAAGCTGTGATGTGGTTGTATTCGCCGGTGATTTGGATGCGACTGTTTCATATGGTCAGTATTCCGTTTTAGTGACAACTGCCAAAACACCTACTGTCGGACGGTGCTCTGATTTCATGTGTAAGACGAAGCAAGTGGATAACAGTGACTTCTTTCAGTCCCCCTTTGTAGGTCCCTCCCTGTAGGCCGCATGCACTGAGTTTGCCTAGGCATTTTTGTTCCATCGGTAGGTAGAGAAATCTTATGCAATCTTTCGATTACACTGACAAAATTCTCTGTGTTGCACTTTATGTAGTACGTGTACATGGCATGGTGGAGAGCTCGATCATATTCTGCCATTGCTTTCGGTAGGGGATTTGCATCTTCAAAGAGCAACCAGGTGCTTTGAATGTGAGATTCAGTGACCACCACTATGATGAAGCTCAATGGACAGCAGATGAATGTATTTATGTGCAAAATGTGGACAACACACGCAGTAAGAAGCTAACTTATGTACGTCCAACGTTTGAGCAGTTTACGCAAGACCGAAACCACCACTGGCGTCGATACGGTGTTTCATTAAGGTAGAACTGTCACTTACGTTATGACATGGGACTGGTTCTGATTGAGAGTTGCGAGACTTCGAGTTTGTGCGTAGAAGGCAACCGTGGAAACGACAGTCGTCGATCATCAGTGTTTACGCAGTAAGATATGTGTCGGTTAGTCAGGATAGATTGGTAGTAACACAGAGGTGAGCCGTCATGCATTGGAGAGTGTGTCGGTAGAAAACTATTTAACTCACTGAATTCGGATGAGTGGGATTTGCTGGTTAGAACACATGTTGCGCGTATTTGTCAGTCGCCTGTCACACTGTCCTTTATATGCTGCATAGATAGTTGACTGTAGCACATTCATGGAGCTCCAAGCAAGCCAATCGAATTCAAAGTTCAATCAGACTCGGTGAGTCTCGAACTGCA